GGTGGGGGGACGGTCAGGAGAAGCTGGGGAACCAGAAGTGCCTCCCCACTGAGAAGCAGCAGCCCAGGGTGACAAGTGGCAACCTTGGCCCGGCTGCCTGTGAGACACAGGGAGCTGTGGGGACTGACATCTGGGGGAGAGCCCCGCACTGACTGTGTGGTTTGGCCATGATACTTGGCCTCTGGCAGCCTCAGTACCCTCCCACACAGACTGGAGACAACCGTCCTGGCCCAGGTACACTGCATTGCATGTGTGCCTGGCCAAGACCCCAGCTCGCCTCCCCTGCCCACCTTGCTTGGCTGCCTGCTGCTTCTGCTTCTCCTCCTCCAGCGCCTTCATCTTGGCCTCATACTCATCAGCCAGCGCCTTCCATTCCTTGCGGTTGTTGGTTATCCCGTCCAGCATGGGTGTGATCTCCTCGTGAAAACGGGAGAATTCCTGGGGGAGGAGAAGTGTGGAAGAGGCAGGGGAGAGGGACGCAGGAAGTGAGAGGCAGAGAGAGAGCAAGACTATAAAGCAGGGGCCATTGCCCCAGGACCCTGGCTCAAGGTGGGGTGCGTTCTGCCTGGCATTGGCCCCTCCGCCCCCTGCTTGGAGCCTTCCTGCATGCAGGCCATTCCTTCAGGGTGAAATGTCTTAGCATGCCATTTGCTGATCTCCCCATCCAGAAGCTCCCCTCCCCCACAAGTCTCACCTCATGGGCGTGTTCCTTCTCATCTGTGAATGTCCTACAACTTTTCTAGAACACTCTATCCTTCCCCTTTTCTTTGAGGTCCCTACTTCCCTGACACTTCCTCAGGGAAAACCTTTTCTAATCTCTCTAGGTGAACTGAGTCCCCAGTTGCATGTCCCCCAAACCCTCCCTAATCAACTCCCACTTCCTTACAATGCCTCCCTCTGCCTCTCTCTCTCCCCGAGGGTGACACCTGGAGATGGCAGGAACGTTGGCTGCCTCATCCCCTCGCTTGGTTCTGGCTTAGCACTGGTCTAGAACTCACAAACACTTCATAAATATTCACTGACTGAAACTGGGTGATTGAGATGATTCACACCCACCCTCCTGCAACTCTACGGATTGAATAATGCCTTGGGCAAAGCGCATTGTGATCCGTGGGGCCATTTATTTCCCTGGGTCTTTCGAGGCTCCCCGTGAGGGATGTCTCATCGCCCCTGCATCCGTAGGTGAGAGAATGTGTTTCAGGTTGGCCGAGTAGATTTGCTGAGGTGAGGAAGGTCCGTTGCCGCAGGGGCCAGTCAAGGCCTACCGTGCCCAGAGACGTCTAAGTTGTGGTCTAGGCTCTACCAGAAGCTATGTGGCTTTGGGACGGCCCCTGCCAGAGATCCCTTTCATCTAGATAGCAGGGTAGTAACTGCACCCAGCCAAGAGCAGCTGGGATTAAATCAGTACACAGGAAGCCCAGCTCTCCCATTCCTGACACTACCACTGGCAGAGTGAACATCAGCCATGCTGTCCTGTTGACCGCAGTCCTGCTTGGTCTGTGTGACAACAGAGACCCTTGGGCCCCCTGGGATCATTTGTTTGTCTTCCCTGCAAAGGACCTACAGTTCATATTGTAGAAAGCCCTGGCCTGGGTGTTCGGTGGCCCAGCTCCAGCCCTGCTGCACAGGTGGGTCCAGAGGTGCTGGCCCTGCCACTTACCCTTTCTGACCTCTCTCTCCTCGTGTATAATGTGGCCAACAGAAAAATAATTAGTGGGAGGTGGAGCCAGGCATGGCAGTATTATACATTATACATTGTAGTATATACATTGTACATATACATGATAGTATATACATTGTACATCATACATGGTAGTATATACATTGTATATTATACATGGTAGTATAAACATTGTACATTATACACGGTAGTATATACATTATACATTGTGGTATATATGTTATACATTATACATGGTAGTATATACATTGTACTAGCGCTTTGGAGGCTGTGGCAGGAGGATCATGAGTTAGAGGTCAGCCTGGGCAACATAGCCAGACCACGTTTCAAAAACAAAGAGGGGGCAGGTGGATAGTGGAGATGGGTTTGGCAGTGGTGTGGGTCTTTCAAGAAGAGGACTAACCATGACAAGAACTCCAGGAGAAATTCTGACACCTTTTCACAACGACCTCGTGTCCATAAAAGCATGCTTAGTCATTTGTCCCAAGAGCATTTGTTGAGCAAGTAGGAGGTCCCAGCTCCAGGCTCCAGCCAGAAGTACCCACCATCTGCCTCTAGAGCCCGGTCCTGAGAACCAGGTGCCACCAGAGGTAAAAATGTTTCTACAAAGTGTTCCGTGCTTGCCAGGGTTCATTATCCCCGCTGGCCAATGGACTCTAGGAAGCCCGCTTACCTTATAGACAAAGGTGCACACGAAGTCAATGAAGCCAACTTGAAGCTTGGGGAGCTCGTCTGCCTTGTTTCTGTCCATCATGGGCTGTCACCGGAGAGAAAGAGTTAATGCAATGGTGTGGGGCAACAGTAGGGATTTACCCAACCTAAGAAACATGCTTGCAAAAAGAGAGAGAGAGAGAGAGAGAGAGAGAGAGAGAGAGAGAGAGAGAGAGAGAGAGAAAGGAAGGAAGGAAGGAAGGAAGGAAGGAAGGAAGGAAGAAGAAAGAAAGAAAGAAAGAAAGAAAGAAAGAAAGAA